GACCAAAAGGAATCATTCCATAATCCAGAACTTCCAACTACTTCTTTCTTTCCATGCCATTTCACATTTTGTTTTCATTTTAGTGCGCTTTTATTTTTAGAATCCTCTCCTAACTTTTTTCACCACCCCTGCAACAAAGACTCTAATAAGGGTGTGAACAGCACCCAGCACGTGGTTTTGCACAGTTTGGGGAGCAGTAGAGCTTTACCTTGGCTCCCAGACTCAGCCCTGCCAATCCCATGCCACCCACCCACCACCTTCCGGCCTCCAATCTTCTCAGTCTCCCCAAACACAGGCGAGATGGAGCCAAGCCTATCTCTGACATCATTAACAGTGAGCAAGAGATGAAGTAGCAGTCCACCAAGACCTAGTTCCAGGCGTAAAATTAATACTGCCTCAGACTCTAATCCCGTGTGGTAGATGAGTCCCGGGGGTTAACAGGATACACCCTCCTTACACCGTAGACCTTGCTCCCCAGGTCCCACAGCTGTTGGACTGGAGGAAATGAAAAGGAAGTACAGCAGTCCTTCTGACCGTCAGATTCTCTTTCTGTGGCAATCGGATGACACGAAGTCTGTGAAGGGACTTTGAAAATAATACAGGGTCAGGAGATGTGAAGCCATAAAAGAGAGATGGTCAGGGGCCATGTGACTACCTCTGGCCCCAAAGCTTGTACAACGCAATACACATGATCTCATGTAACGCATTCAATAGGTCTGCTGCGCCTATTGCAGGCAAAAGTTGACTAAATGCTGTCACTAACATTTTGAATTCCAAATTCAGAAGAGAGAATTAAAGTCAAACCGAAATCGGCCAGTAAAAGAGGCGATGGGGCTGTCCAAATGGCCCGGGCACTTGCGGACGTTTCCAGCCTCTGAGAGTTGGTCCAGGGGCCATGTGACTACCTCTGGCCCCAAAGCTTTACAAGCAGGGCTGACGGTGTGTGCATCCCTGTGGCCTAGGTTGCTTATCAACAGAGTGAGTCCCACCCCACCCTCGCCTACTTCCTGCTTCACTGCCCCCGGACACCACATATTGAGAGGGAGGGCACTTGGATCCCTGAGTCCCTGGATGGAGGAGTGCCTTCCCACCTGGAATGCAAACCTTAGTCTGAGGGCTAAGCCACAGAGTCCAGTGGTTATTTATTATTTAGTATAATAAAGCCAATCCTTTAAAATACATTGATTTTTTTTTTCTTTTTAATTACATTTCTTCAGGAGCTCAGTGCTCTTAAGAGATGCTCATGATGGGGCACCTGGGTGGCTCAGTTGGTTAGGCGACTGCCTTCGGCTCGGGTCATGGTCCCGGAGTCCTGGGATCGAGTCCCGCGTCGGGCTCCCTGCTCAGCGAGGAGCCTGCTTCTCCCTCTGACCCTCCCCCCTCTCATGTACTCTCTCTCTCTCTCTCATTCTCGCTCTCTCAAATAAATAAATCTTTAAAAAAAAAGAAAAAAGAGATGCTCATGATGAGGGTAAGTGACTGTAAATAAGTAGCTTTTGCACTAGGTCTACACCACCAGAGATCTAGGTGTTAAAGAAAAATGAGTCAATCCTAAATCAGATAATGCTTTATACAGTGAATAAATAAATAAATAAATAAAAACTTCTAACCTAATGGTTCCGTGGATTAAATAAAACAGCTGACTTTGGCACTCAAAGGTCTTATTCTGATACAGTCATTTATTTTCTCCAAGACCCTAAGTAATTTAATCTCTTCTCTGCGTTGGTTTTAAGATGGAGAGAAGGACCTGCCTCTGAGGGTTTTGGTGGGCAATAAAAATAACTGTAAAGCACTTTTCCGGCACAAAGTGCTGCATAAATGCTTAATGATTTCCTTTAATGATATCATGGACATGGGCACTGTACTTTTAGGTGAAATATTTTCATTTGAGTTATAGCGTGTAATACTCTAGATGTCGAGGCCTGATGGATGGCTGAACTAAGGATCTTTTGTTTTTCTGGAGTCTGGATAATTTAATCATTCTTCTTTATCTCCAGAAATTACATCTAATTAAACATATGCAGGGCTCAGATCTCACAGAGGAGGCTAATGATCATGTATATAGAGAGAGGGGACTTTGTCAGACACCATGAATGAGACCGTCTTCAGGCCATCAGTTTTGTTCATGAATTCTGCTTTTGAGGAAAAAGATGCACTGGGGCCTTTTTTTTTTTTAATAACTTACTCTGATTTAGAAAATCACAGCCTTATATTATACTGAGTCCAGGTTAGAGTCTCAAAGGGCGGGCATTTACTCTCTCACACAGGTGGGCATTTTATTCTCTAGAGCCAGAAAGAGAGCATTTGATCAAACATACCCATCTACCATGGAGGAGCCACATTCTTTTCTGTAATTATTATCCAAAGCAAAAGGTAAGAAGGAAAAAGGCAGTGACAATTTTTTTTTACAAAAATATAGGTATGAGAGTGCCTGGCTGGCTCAGTCAGCGGAGCACGCGAGTGACGTCGATCTTGGAGTTGTGAGTTCCAGCCCCATGGTGGGTGTAGAGATTACTTAAAAATGAAATCTTAAAAAAAAAAAATGTAAACATAAAATCCTTTTATTATTTTCTATGTGTGTCATAATCTAAATGAGTTTGAGAACCTCTACCCTACAGGTCAGTTTGTGAACTTTGAAGACTTCATTCCCATCCATGCTTCCCAACTCCGAGTTATTCCAATTTTCAAACACCAGCTGTGCCTTCTCCCCTTTCCCACACATCCTCTCTCGACAGCTCCCATCTACCCATGCGAACCTCGTGCCAGATTTTGTACAACACAATACACGTGATCTCATGTAATGCATTCAGTAGGTCTGTAGGGTGGGAGTTCTTTATCCCATTTTTCAGATAAGATAATGATGCTCAGCGAAGTTAAATAATTAAGCCCAAGTCATGCAGCTAGTAAGAAGCAGATCCTGGATTCAAACATGGTGTAGCTGCTCCTGAGGTTAGGTGGATAAGGCCCCTCCCCACCCCCACCCCCAATGTGCCTTTTCACAGAGCTTCGTCCTTAGATGGTGAGGAAGGGAAGGCGGAGGATGGAGAAAGGAAAGTGCACAAAATTACTGTTCCTTCTTAGAAAGAAAGAAGGTTTAGTGCTGGAAACAACCCTTCAGATTTTCCAGCTACTTTCCACGCTTTTTAGAAAAGGAAACAGATACTCAGACAAGTGAAATGGTTTTTACAAGGTCATCCCCGTACCTTGAATGAATAAAAACTAAACACGGTATGTGGGGCTCTGACTCAGTATCCAGGATTTTCAACTCCCGGGTCTATTCTTTCCACCATAGCATCCCCTGCCCCGCTCCACCCCTCATTTAAAAAAAAAAAAAAATAATAATAATAATAATAATTTAAATGAGTGAATTTACCTCTTAGTAAAAAAATACATATGTAAATAGTTGCAACTGTTACGATGACCTGGACCAGCCATCTGTCATATACACTTGTGTGGAGGGAAAGGCCTACTTCTGGATTCATTCATTGTTCATTCAACTCATGTTTTAGAGCATTTCCCATATGCAGAGCTCTGTGTCAGGGTCAGGAGACAGTACCAAACTGGGCTGATTGCTCCCTGCAGATATAAGCAGTTTTTAGCCTAATGAATGTAAAATTTGAAAGATTTGACTCTTCTATCATACACCATGAGTCAAGAGGAAAAAATAGTGAAGTTGATCCAAAACATTGATTCTTATCATAGTGTTCTTTTAATACTTGAATCCTTTGCCTATTTCTATAGTAACTGATCCATTTTTAAATATGGCAAAGGAAAGTGTTTCATTCATTCAATGAATACTTGTTGCACACCCACTGTGTGCAAGGAAATTTCTAGTCAGTTAGTTAAACAAAATAGACAAAAATATCTACCCTCATGGAGATGACATCCTGACTGGGAGAGACAGGAAAGAAAGAATGACCACAATGAATAAGTAAATTATATAGTATTTTAGAAGGTGATGTGGGTTAGAGAAAAACAAAATGTCAACGGATAAGCAGAGTTTGGAATTTGGAGGGGAAGTGGGGCAGATTGCAATTCTAAATAGGATGGCCAGAGCAGGCCTCGCTGACAATATTTGAGCTTACTGGAAGGTGAGACTGTTAGGCTTGTGGATTTCTGGTGGGGGGAGAACATGACAGCAAAGTGAACAGTCAGTGCCAGGCCCTAAGGTAGGAGCACTCAGCAAACCGTGTTGCTGAAGCAAAGTGAGCAAGAGGGAGAGTAGAAGGAAGGAGGTCAGGGAGCTAAGCAGGGCGGGCATCGTGGCTCAGGCAGGGCCTCGTAGCCCACTGTGAGGACCTGGCTTTACTCTACATCAAAAGGGGAGTCCCTGGGGCACTGTGGGCGGATCAGTGACAGGAAGAGACTTGGGTTTCCAAGGACCATTCTGGCTTCTGTGTTGGGAACGGACTTCAGAGGCAAGGGTAGAGACAAGAAGACCAATGACAAGATACCAGAGCATCACATGGAAGTAATCCAACTGAGAGACGAAGGCGGCCCAGGCCAGGGGGCTAGCGGAGGAGAGGGCAGAAATGGTTGGATTCTGGATATATTCTGAAGAAAGAGCCACAGATTTTCCTGGCAGGCTGGCTGGCATGGGGAGGGGATGAGGGAAATAGAAGAGTGCAGGCCGATGCCAAGGTTATTAGCCTGAGCAGCTGGAAGACCATTTCCTGGATGGGGGAGCCTGGGGGGAGAGCCAGTTTGCAGCAGTGAATTCAGGAACCGGGGTGGGGTCGTGTGAGGGGTGTGAACCTGTCTTAGGAGGAAGGTGTCAGTTTGGGAGTTAACCCCCTGGGGAAGCCGGGAGACTGGACAAGACCACTAAGGGGCTTACGCTATTTGGTAAAAACTGATGAGAAGGACCCGCTCATCTAAACAGAGAATTTCATTTTCCCAACGATGTAAGAACAGGGAGAGATGGTTAAGAGCAAAAGGACTGTTTGACAATGATTTATTTTTATTAAACAGCCCCTGAAAGAAAAACAAAACCAGGGAAGCACATTTAATTTTTAAATTTATTTTTTCTCTATTATGGTTCCAGCCTTTGGCCAGGGGGCCGAAGCGTCTGTACAGAAAACTCAGAAATGTTTGGGCGAGAAGCAAAGCATGGAATTTCTTGTGTGCATGAAAATACTGACATCAGACAAAACCAGAAAGTGCAGTCAAGTCCCAGAGCCCGCTTTCTTTAGTTACTGTCACCGGAGGACTGTTTCATGTCGGCAGGGCCGGCCCCGTATCCAAAAGAGAGAGGGCACACGCGGGTCCTGGGGGAGAGAGACCCCTAAGTAAGCGCCGGCAGATGCTTACATAAAAGTTTCTACCCTTTTGAAATCTATCACCATTACCATCGTGAATGAGAGCCTGAGGCTCTCCCACTATTCTAGAATCTCATCAAAATGGTAAAAGAAAAAAAAAGAAAGAAAGAAAGCAAGCAAGCAAGCCGGGATCGCGAGGTTCCCCGTGCCACGTCATTTAGCACGGCGCTCGTCCCCTAAGTAGCGGTGGCAAGTCGCCTGGGCCCCTCCCTCCGTGTACCGGGGAGAAGCGAGCGCCCTGCAGGGGGGCGGCTGGCGGGGGGCGGGGGAGGCCGCTGCACGCCCTGCTCTGCAAGGGAACCGCCTTCTCGGGCGGCTGCCCGCTGGCCTCACCTCTGCATCCTGCCGTCCCACGCTGCCGACGCAACCGGCGGAGGCGTTGTGGCGAGGAATCGAGCAACAGGAGGCTTGCCCTCCCAAAGTGACTGTGCGCTCCGGAAGTCACTCTCCCGCCGCCGCCGTGAGTCTGGGTCGGCCGCATCCCCGGAGCTGCAAGCGCGGCAGTCTGCGCGGCCCGTGCAGTGCGCTCGCAGCATTCTTCAGCTTTGCAGGCTTCCCCAAAGAGCACTTTGTGCTTCCTTCCCTCGACGGTGCTCCAGTTGCTACATATCAAAACGATCTCTCTTGTTTGGGTCGGATGACACAAGCCCAAGGCGACGAGTGCCCAATAACCCAGATGCTGTGTGGCGCTGCACCAATCTCCTCTCACTTTGTGACTTTAAATTCCCCTGGAAGCTTAGAGGGGAAGCCGCGTGTGTGTATCTCCACAAGCCAGTCCTCTCATTCCAAGCCGTCCTCGCAGGAAATTCGTATTCTGCAGGCATCAAGGCGGCCGCTGTAATTGCTCGTAAAGCCATCCATGGGACTTTGCGGCAGGCGCCTTTCCTAAGCTCTGTAATTAATTCTTGGAAAGCCATAGAAGGAGCTTGTTCCGAGCACTGTTAAATCAAAAGCAGGCTTCCTGTTGGCCTGCTCAGATGGAGCCGTCGTAGTTTAAAGCAGATAATGAACCAGGCTGAAGAAATCTCCGAACAACCATTCATTCTCCAGCTGTGGAGTCTATGTGCCACCCAAGACGGAAATAGCGTGCACGCGCCATATGCTGATGCACAGATCACCGCTCTTCGGATGCACAGAAGACCTCGGAGCATGAGCTGTAACTATTGGCCAGACCCTTGTTTGCTTACATTATTTTCTTTAACTCATTGGTTTGCTTGTTTGTTTGCTCACGGACACTGAGCTTGTTTTGATAAAAACATTTCAGAAAGCCATGTGGGTGGGGCAGGTATCCTGAGCTGAAAGTGCCAACTAGCCAGGCTGGTCGATGGGCCCTGGTCCGTATGCATGAGCTCAGACTGGATAATAATACTAAAGCTGCAGTTTATTGAGTGACAGCTACGTCCAAACAGTCTGTGACCCTTGTGCATGTATCCTCCCAAGAGCCCTAAGAAGACAAAGTGATTGCCACTATCATTTAGATTAGAGCCTGGTGTTACAGCGTTGTTGTGTACCTCCGGTGATTTCATGAAAATAAGGCGGATTAGAGCTCTCCTTCTCCATGTCTAAATAAAACTGCTTAGGTAAAAGCACAGTGCCTTATACACATTAAATACTCAATAAATGTTCTTACTGACTCGGTGAAACTCACACTTAGTCACGAGTTTTAAAAGGGAACTGGCCAATTTTCTATAGTAGTGGTTCTCCACTGGGGGTGATCTTGTACCTAGGGAACATTTGGCAATGTCTAGAGACATTTTTAATTGTCATAGTTGGGGAGGGGGCTTTGCTACTAGCAACTAGTGGGTAGAGGCCAAGGATGCCGCCAAACATTCTACAAGGCACAGGACAGCCCCTCCCCACAAAAAATCATCCAACACAAAATGTCAGTCGTGTTGAAGTTGAGAAATCCCGATCGATAGCTAAAGTCAACCAATAGATCAACATTTGTTGATTAATATTTAAATTATCAAATGTCAACCCCGCCCCCCAAAATGGTTAACCTCAGAGGCTCTGATGTAGGATTGTATACTAGAACTGGCCAAAGATGTGTCCTTTACATTCCAAAATCTAGACAAGTATCTAGCACAAATATTAACTCCATACTCCTTGGTTTGGGAGACACCTGAGAAAGATCAGGATGCCAAGCTCAATCTTGTATATGGGAGTTAATTTTGAACTATCATGTGAAACGAAAACCCAGCCACTATACCAGTATAAAAATGGGCTGCCCCTAAGACCCATACCAACTCAGACGAAAATTTCAACAAATTCCGAAGAACCAATGACATGGAGACCAGGTTGTGTATCCACAAGAATGTAAAAACTATAAACCAAGGATAAACATGAAAGCAAAAATTTTAAAACAATATTTTGAGAAAAGAAAAGATACACATCTAAATAATTCTTGGATTAAGGAATAACTCATACTACTTTTAGCATTTGCTTTTGTCACTTAATAATCTATCATACACATTTCTCCCATACCTTTTTAAAAAGATTTTATTTATTTATTTGAGAGAGAGAGAGCACAAGAAGGGGAGGAAGGGCAGAGGAAGACAGGGAAGCAGACTCCCCGCTGAGCAGGGATCCCGATGTGGGACTCAATCCCAAGACCCTGGGATCATGACCTGAGCCAAAGGCCGACACTTAACAGACTGGGCCACCCAGGCTCCCTCTCCTATACCTTTAAAATCTGTTCTAAAATATGACTTTTTGGGGCACCTGGTGGCTCAATCGGTTAAGTGTTCACTCTTGATTTTGGCTCAGGTTATGATCTTAGGGTCGTGAGATTCAGCCCCATACTGGGCTCTGTGCTCAGTGCAGAGTCTGCTTGAGATTCTCTCTCCCTCTCCCTGTTCCTCTCCCCCTGCTCTCTCTTTCTCTCAAATAAATAAATAAAATCTTTTTAAAAAATAAAATAAAATATGACTTTTCAGGGCAGCATGATATTCTAACACATGGATGGCATATAATTTATTTAACTAATCCCTTATTTAGGCATATTTACATTATTTTCTATTTTTAGCTATGATAAATCATACTATCATGAACATGAAACATTAACATTTTTACTAAATTGCTCACAAATATATTTTGCACCATTCAGTTCTTTTTATGTTGCTTAATTAGAATATTCCCAGTTGGAGGCCAGCTGTACAACAACTTTATCTGAAGGAAGAGTAACCATAAAAGAAAGAAATTGGGAGAGAGAGAGAGAAAAGAAACCCTGCGTTCTAGATCTTTCCACAACTATGATTGCTCAAGGAAAACATCCAGCCAGGTGCGAGTGGTTTGTGTCACCATGTGAAGAAGAACAAGGCGAAGGGCAGTATAGATAGATACTGCATTATCATATGCCGTCGTTATAGTTTGTAGATCTCACACGTTCACATGTAAATAACAGATGCCAAGTGATCTCCTCCACAAGCTGCCTCCAAATCGAACTAAAAATGCTATCACTGAAGCCAGACAAGCTAGAACAGCAAGGACAATACTTCAAACGATGATATGAGTTTCATTTAACACCGAGAAAACAAACATTTCTAGATAACTACAGATCCTGTAAGGCAAACAATTCTGGAAAAGGGGAAATAAATGGGTGAGACAAAACTAAAAGGAGGAAAACGGGTTGCAATTCATCAGGACTGAAAATACCGGCAGTCCCAGCGCAAGGGGCATTAGCCGAGTAATCAGGTGAGATGCATGTGAATGTTGACACGATCCACAGTGCCTGAACTCTGAGGGAAGCACCGGGCAACGCCTGGCAGGAGCCCACACTGGCTTCAAACTGCCTTGGCTCGCTTCCGGTGGTAGAGCTGGGTGGCTTTGGCCAAGTTCACCAAGCCTCGGTTTCTGTATTTCTGAAGTGGCTGTAATAACATCCTCTATCTCACAGGGATGCTATGAGAATTAAATGCAAAATCCCATGTCAATAAAGGGTTTAGCATACTAGTAGCCACGCACATTCGTATGTGTTCAGTAAGCAGTCGCCATTATTACGTGAACTTCAAAAGATTAAGAAAAGCCAGATGGCCAGTTGAAAAACAGGAACAGGAACTAGAGGTTGTTACTATGCCTCTGTAGTAAACCCCGTAGTTCTTTTTAACACAAGGACATAAATTTAGTTCTACGAACCGCTTTGAAAACATTCTAAATTCTAAATTGGAAGTGCTGTGAAATCCGTGTGTGGGTTTCTAATACGCTCTAGTCATTAAAATAGATATTTAATTTATCTTGGCAAGCCTGCCTGTGGAACTGAGACCATTAGGGCATGAATGCTGGTAGATCAGCGACTTTAAGGGACACGAGCGAAATCAGGTCGCCTGGGGTCACCTCCCATTGGCTGCCTCTGATTGGAGGTTGATCGCATTCTTTTATAAGTGGTGAGGATACAGACCCACGCTCCATGATTTGGCAAAAAATAATAAAATTTATTTATATTTGCCAAATGCATTCCCTTGATAATGGCTGGATGCCAAAACATTGTTTTCTGTTTTGCTTTGGTTTTGTTTTGTTTTATTTTATTTTAAGAACTTGGCTTTGAAATATGGAAATTCCCATGATGAGAGGCCACTCAGTGAGAACTGATGATCCCAAAGAATTATCAGCTACTGAGTGTTCCTCTCCACGGAGTCCATGAAACCCTTCCAACTGGAGATAGCTTTAATTTCCTTTCAGTGAGAACGCAGCCCATCTATCTCTACTGGGCCTTTTCTTGACTTCATCATTTCCCCAGGTTGTATTTCAAAGCATCTTATTCATTTACAAAATTAAACAAAAGGTAATCGTCTTTCCCTTTTTAAAAAGCAAGTCTGACTTCTTTGTTCTAATAATCCTAGAAATTACGTATGGGCAAGATTTCTATTCCCAAAGATGTTTACCTTTGAAAAAGGGGGAAATGTCTGACCCCAAATGCTGCTTCTGGAGTGACCATCTCCTTGTGAAAGGAGACCCCTTTCCGCACGGAAATGAAGGGGCAAATGGTTGGTCTAGGGCTTTCTCTCTGTCCCCTCGGTCTGGTTGGGTTCGTGTGGTGCCTCTGCTTAGTGGCTCGATGCTTTGCCTTGGCAGAGAAATGTATTGTCTATTTTAATGCTGACCTGTGATGTTTTATTCACATTTTAAATCTTTTATGGCCTGTGGTTCCCGTGAGATTTTCCCTTTTGTTAGCATTTTTTCCTGATTGGTATTGATTCTCTATTTTGCCAAAGGGTTAGGAAACCTACTGCCCTGTTGGCATCATTGCGAAGAATCCGGTGGCTGTTTTCCTCCCCACAAAAGCAGTATCTATAGCCATTTAATTATATAGTTTATTTTTAAATCAAGTATGAAAGAACCGGGGATCGTCTTTCACTTAAAGTCAGCCTAGCGTGTTCACAGAACGTCAAACATTCTCAGTTCCTTCAGTTATTGAAATGGGTGTCCTCATCTAAAAGAAAATCAGTACATCTGGTTTTACCCAGCCTAATGTCACAAGATTTTACTGTATACCACTTTCTTTCTTCAGATAGAAATAGGGTCCATAACTTCAAAAACTGTCAAAGAGAAATAAACACACTCTGTGGGAAAAATAATAACTCTAGACACTCCAGTTGCAAAATAATTCTCCTACCTTCCATCAGACACAGCCTGCCTGGAACGGTGACCCCAAACTTCCTTAAATGCCCAAACTGAAGCTGTTCTTATATTTTCTATCTAGAGGAATACGAAGGTGTTCTCTGGCAATTGAATTTTTATGAAATAAAAAGTGTTATTCATAGGAATGATCAGTAGAGAATAGGCAGGTTATGTCTTACAATTCGTTTTTTCAAAGGCCAAAATCCATGTATCCAG